CTTGCTCTATTTTCTTATAGAGAATCCTAGCTATTTGGATGGTGCCTTGGGAGGTGTGGATTGGCCTTAGTGTTGGCATTGATCCCAAAAATAAAGGCATAGATCCCAATGGAGATGGTCATGACCACCTATTTGAAATGGACTTGGGATTTTTTTTGTGAACATGAGTGTATCAACACCAGCAATTCTCTCATAGAACATCTTCAGTCTTGAAGTTTCTAGAAACAGTGGCTAAAGAGATAGAAAATTCAGAAAAGCTTTCCCATGGATTGAAGTTCATTCGAAGTGAGACCACCCCATGGTGTGCAAATCTAAGGGGGAAGGTGGTTTGTGTACTAGGACTTGTGTTTATTCTCATTTGCTTTTTTAGGCAAGGTTTTAGCCTTCTAGGAGGGATGAGAAGAGAAATATGGTTCTTGATGCAAGCATCATTAAACATTCAATTGAGCTTTTATGCATATGTTTGGTTTGGCTACATATGAATCAAGACAGTAATTTATGCATGATTCTATCTTCTTTTAGATTTTCATTGAGGTTACATAAGAAAGAAGTCTCACCTTATGGCGAAATTTGTTGGGATAATGGGGTTGGGGTTTTAGGAAAAATCTGTAGGAAATGTTTTACCTATCTGGTATATTCACATATACATGGATGTTAACAGTTTTCTATTAACTCCCATGCATGGATGCATGAATGCCTTAAGTTAACTTATATATGCTTAATTTTGATTCATTTAATTTGTTGAATTCAGGTATAACATGGTGGAACATGGTCTTTTATGTGAGAAGGTCTTGTCTTTTTGTGCAATTGAAATCTGGAGGTTGAGGAAGGGGGTGAGATCATCTTTGGTGGTGTTGATCCCAAACACTTTAAGGGAAAGCATATCTATATACCGGTAACTCAGAAGGGCTTCTGGAAGGTGCATGGTTCATTATCTTCATGGCTTTAGCTAGCTGACTTTGATGTTATACAATTCAATTCATGATCAACTTTTAAACGCCTATTAATCTCAGGTATCATGTTCCACGCCCATAATCTGTTGGTTATTTTTGAAGAATGGGGTGGTGATCCAACTTGGATTTCTTTGAACAAGATATCTGTAGGAAGTGTCTATGTTGATTTTCATGAATGGCAGCCATCGTAAAGATCTGGTAAAATTGGAAGGCTTCTAAGGCCCATAGCACCTCTTCTGTGTTCCTATGGAATGATTACATAAATAAAGTTTGTTAGCTTTGGAACGCCACAAGGGGTATGTGGAAGCTTTCAAGAGGGAAGCTATCGTGCTCACAAATTATATGATGCTTTTGAAAAGGTAAAATGACTAAATATTGTATTCTTTATAGTTCTTCGAAACAAAAGTGGTTAGTATAATTGCGACCTTTTTCAGTAAATGCCTTTCTAAGCCTATCAAGCTAGAATATCAGGTTCTTGATCAAGGCCTATAGGCATGAGATTGAACTCTATCTCTCAAGTTTTGCATGAAACGAAGTAAAGTAGAGTAAACATTCAGGTCATTGATGGCTATTTTCTGTGCATGTAAAACAATTATCTCATTATACTTTACTTCTTTCCCAACTTCAGCCTATGTAAAATGGCCAAAAATTCTTCTCTTGTTGGAGAAAGAATGCTATAATTAAACGATAGCAATGCATGAATCTGATGGCTATTTTTTGCACCTTCCAAGTATTAGGTAAAAATAATTGTTCATTTTTCAAGTGTTATCAAGTTTTTGTAGCCTATATATTGTATAGGATAAGTGTCCAACCTTTAAGGACATTTAGTTGAGCATTTTGAATGGCTGATGCCAAAGTCCAGTTGATTTGTTTGCCCAAGTCTAGACTACTCTTTGTTAGATATTTTTGCATATTTTCTTCTTATGTCTTTCAGAAAATTTAACACAAATGGGTTTCTTGCAGAACTGCATTGGCCAAAAAATGTGGACAGTAACTGTAGCTCTTGATATTTTTGGTGGGGATCCATGTATAAATGCCATGAAGCTCTCAGTTGAAGCCATTTGTAGTTAAGAATTGCATTGGGCAAAAAGTGTGTGCAGTAACAGTAGCTCCCGAGATTTCTGGTGGGGATCCATGTCTAAATACCATAAAGCTCTCGGTTGAAGCCATTTGTAGTTGAGGCCCGGCAAATATGTCAGAGTAATCAAAATGAAGAATAATCTAGATTTATTCTTCTTCGATATATTTTTGAAGTGCCTTGGTAATTTGAGTGTACACCTCCAATGTCTCCAATGTAGTTTGGTTTCATTTTTAGGGCAAGATTATACATGTTCATGGTTCGGGTAGCCCGATGGCCCGCCCGCACCCCAGTCGGACTTGGTCATGTAATTAGGCCCGCGGGCTTGACCTCGGGCCTAACACAGTAAGCCCGATTGTGTTACGGGCTGGGCTCGGGATTTGTCAAAAAAGCCCAGCTTGACTCAGCATTATATATTTTATAAAATATATAATATGTATTCTATATATTATATAAAATATATAAATAATATAATATTTATTGAAATATATATATTTATAATTTAATATATACATTTTTTTATTTTTTTCTTTATAATTTCTCTCTCACTCTCTCTCTCTATTCAGCCGCTTCAGCAGTAGTAACAACATGGGCTAAATTTCGGACTTGGGCCCAGGCCCGGCTTTGGGCTTTTTATGAGGGCCGGGCTTGGGCCCAAGTTGTAGGCCTGATGGTCAGGCCGGGCTCGGATTCGGGCCTTAAAAAATCTGTTAATACAGAGTGAAAGCCCAACCCGAGCCCGACCCGGCCCGGCCCATGAATAAGTCTAGGCAAGATAAAGTTGTTTAAGCATACAACACACAATGTGGCTAAAGGTCATATAAATTGTGAATGTGAGGGACCTTATGTACATAAATTACATGCTCATGTTTCGAATGGAGAATGTACTTTTATGTTTTATTTGTAATTGGTGTTTTGATTTTTGTATTTTTACTTCAATTTGGATGAATGAAGGGAAAACAAATTATTTGAAATAAATTACATGTTATTTGGAATAAATTCCATATTATTCTAGTTGGTGAAAGAAACAAATTGGAATGTTATTTTGGTAGGTTATTCTAGGTTATTTTGCCATTTTAGTGGCAGATAAAGGATATTCTAGTGGCAGTTTAGCACCACATCAAAGAGATAGTGGCAAAAACTGCTGCCAAGAATTATACGCCAAAAACCAAACCTATAGCGGCAGTCAGTACCTCTTTTTAGCGGTAGTTTTTTGGGTTTTACGGTAGTCGGTAAAAAAACTGCTGCTAAAACTCCTACCAACAGTTTGTCGACTGCAGTAAAACTTCTACCAACAGTTTTGACTGCCGTTAAAAGTCATTTTTCCCCTAATGACCATTTTTTTGCTTTTCAATGACTTCATAGTTTGAACTTTGAATAACTACTTGTAGGGACCTGTGCAATGTACGAAAAAATATGAAAGATTTAATAATTTTATTTATTATTAATTAACATTAAATTAATAATCAAAATTTGTTGTTAATTAACTAAAAGTATTTAAAGTTATTATTAATATCTAAAATTTTAATAATTGTATTTTCATTTAATGTTGATTTACAGAAAATAATTATTGTTAATTTAATATGAACAAATATTTTTAATAAATTTAGTTTTATTAATAGTTTATAGTTATTTTTATTATTTTTAAATGAATGACAACGGGGTGGGTTTAGGGCGAGGCACCCCATCCCTGTCCCTAACCCATAATCAAGACATTCTATCCCATCTCCGGCCTCGTCCCCAGTGTCAGGTGGATTCAAGGCAAAGCAACCACTCATCAATGTCGGGCGAGCTCAGGGGCAAAACACCCCACTCCTCATTAAAGATGGGGAATCCTTAAATTTCCTCGCCCCATCCCTAGTATTGGGTGGGTTCAAGTAGAAGTGTAAATTGGGTTATGCTGGGTCGAGCCTTAGGCCAAAACCAGGCCGTAGACCAGGCCAAACTATGAGAGGTCCAATTAAAAAAAATGAAAAAGATGTTTAAATTTTTATTGCATATGATTTTTTATATATACAATTAGACCTATTCATGGCCAGGTAGCCCCACGGCCTAGCCCAACCCAACTCGACCTAATCTATTACTTTTCAGGCTTAGACAAAATTTCTGGCTCCTGGCTCGATATCAGGCTTTCTAAAATAAGCCTGATCCGATATATAAAAAAGTATTAATAAATATACGGTCCAACAGATGCGAACTCCCAGACCCAAAGATTCCCATCTACCACTCTTATTTCATCTCAATCGTCCATGGGATAAATGATAAATCACATACTCCATTTCGTTGACTAAACGTATTTGACTCACGAGATCTTAAGCACATGTGGCAAGATCCTCCATCTGATTGGAATCTATCAAGGATACCCGCATCCACCATCTGCACGCTGACGATAATCGGACGGCGGTTCAATTCTCAGCACGTCAATCACGTCAAAGCTTCTGTCAGCAGCGCTCTCTCCTCTCCCTTGAATTAGGGGCATTTTCGTCATTTCTGTCCGGACCTATATTCTCGAAACCAACGTGCCCCAATTAACCACACTCACGATATCCTAAACAATCAGCAGGCCCTAGTGATCAAACTGACGGTCCAGATTGATTTTAAGATTACGTAGCAGGTTAACAGAAATACGCAGAGACGACGCCATCTCTTCTCACAGCAACGTCGATGGAGGGGTATTTTAGACATTTTATTAACATTAATGTAACTAAATTCGAAAAAAGAAAAATATGGATTGGACACGTGGACACTGATATCTGACATGGCGCCTTCCGTACGCACGCTTCGGAGTTCGGAGGGAGGAGAGCACTTAGTACTTAATTAACAGGAGAGAGAGGGAGGGAGCCGGAGTGACCAAAGGGAAAGGCAGAAGGGAAGTTTTAGTCTGTTGGGTTTACTGAACGAAGCCGGAGAGCGGAAGAGTTCTGCCTAGGGTTTTAGTTTCTACTTCTGTAGTTGCTCGTACGGTAGGGTTTTATCCTTGAAGCTTGATGTTTTTGTAGGCATTTGTGTTTTCAGCGAGTCGTTTTTTTTTTCTCCTCGACTGTTGCTGTGCTTTTCCTGGATTCTTGGACTCAGTTTGAGTTCTTCTTTTACGAGATTCTGGTACGTTTTGGTGATTTTGAAGCGGATCTTTAGGCTTTCGAAGTGCATTGTGTGTTGTAGTGGGATTTTTCGGAAGTTCATGTTTGAATGTCTGTAATGCAGCTCTGGTTCTGCCCTAGTTGAAGGGTTGGTTTGTTTGCTTGAGACAAAATCCTTGTTTTTAGCTTCTGGAACCGTTGAGGTTGGTGGTTTACTGGGTTGAATTTATTATTTTTGTCGATTCTATGTATGTTTTGAGTTGGGTTTTGTTGGAACACTTCCAGCTCTTCTTGCATGTTGTTTTTTCTTCTGGTTTTTGTCATTTCTGAAATTTCATTTCCAGAAGTTGCATGTTGTTTTTCTCCTTCTTTGCTTCTTTATGATATATTTAGGTGCTCCATTGAACACTTCCAACACCTAAATATCATTATTCCACTCTTTTTGCTTTGTTCTGGTTCATTTGTGTGCTTGTGTCTACTGTGTGATTTTGTGTTCTGAAGCTTTATATTCAGGTGGCTTCGGACTATGTTGTTGTTTTCCAGATTGTTTATCGTTTTGTTTTATGGCTTTGATAGCTTCAGGTTCTGTGTTCTTTTGGTTCTTAAACGTTGTGTGGTCTCTTTCTTTCTCCCCTCTTAATTGATGTTTTACCTTGTTGTCAAATTGCCATATTTTTGCGTTTCCCAGAGCTACATTTTGTCATGGGTACCATCCTTTCTTGTTGCCTGACTTGATTTTTCCTGTTCTAGTTATGGTTCTTTGAATGTGCATGCAGTTTTAGTTGTATTTTAACCATCTTTTCAGTTTCTATGTATGTTTTATTCTCCTAAAATGTTTCCAGGTTTATATTCTTGACAAATTTTATCTTTCCAAAAAGAAAAAAAAAAAAAAACTTCATGGTTCAGTGGAACTGTTGCGATGTTGCCTGGTTCGTCATTGCCTTGCGTTGGATTGTTGTGCTAATGGGTGGCGATATCAATGGTGTTTTACTAGTATCATTTATCTTAATTTGCATAACTTGCATTTTAGTAGTACTTCAATTCTGTTCTTTCTCCCCAACACTCCTGTCTGTTTCTTGTCGAAGATTTCAGAGATGGACAACCCTGATTCCGAAGTAACAGAGGAACGAGAGGTCCTGCCACCACCTCCACCCTTAGTTCCGCCAAATGTTGTTCCTCAGCGAGTAGAACTAGAAGATACCCCTGGTCAACCTAAGAAGGTATCAAAGCCAAAGCGTGTCCCAATGGCCAGGCCTGGTATGGGCAGGAAAGGGAAGCCAATTCAATTGTTGAGTAATCATTTCAGAGTTAATGTTGTTAATGTTACCAGCATCTTTTTTCATTATAGTGTAAGTTCTTGTTTCATCGAGGCCCTCAGTTTCCTTGAGGAATTCTTTTTATACTGAGATATGTATAATGCATCCTGTAGAATTAATTATCTTAATTTCCTGTGTTGTAATAGGTTTCCATCTGTTATGAAGATGGTCGCCCTGCAGAGGGTAAGGGTATTGGAAGAAGAGTGATGGATAAAGTTCATGAGACCTATGATACCGAGCTAGAAGGCAAGGATCTGGCATATGATGGAGAGAAGAGCTTGTTTACAGTTGGGCCTCTTCCTCGTAACAAACTTGAGTTTACTGTTGTGCTTGAGGATCTCTCGTCAAACAGGTACAAATGTGGGTTGCATAGGAATACTATTGATATTTTGTATTTCCCTTACGGTTTTATGCATTATTATTATTATTATTATTTTTTTTTGCTTATTTTGCATCTAGAGCTGCTGGGAATGGGAGCCCTGGTGGTAGTGGAAGCCCAAATGAGAGTGAGAGGAAAAGACTAAGGCGTCAATTCCAGTCTAAAACTTTTAAAGTTGAGATCAGCTTTGCAGCCAAAATCCAAATGCAAGCCATCGGGGATGCATTGCGTGGTAAAGAGTCCGAAAGCTCTCAAGAAGCACTTAGAGTTTTAGATATCATATTAAGGCAGCATGCAGCAAAGCAGTAAGTTAAACGTTTATATTCTGTTATTTTATTATGGTGAGCTTGATTTTCTTGTTATTTCTAATTAAGTTGAGCGTGTTCTCTTTAGGGGTTGCCTACTTGTTAGACAATCATTCTTCCACAATGACCCAAAAAACTTCACTGATTTGGGAGGCGGGGTGCTTGGATGCAGAGGTTTTCACTCAAGCTTCCGTCCTTCTCAAGGAGGATTATCTCTGAATATTGGTAAGTCTTTATGTTTTTCTTCTTGCTTAAGTGCAGTCTGTTCTGATTTTGGTATTCTTTTCACTGTTTCTGTTACAAATTGCAGATGTATCTACCACAATGATTGTACAGCCCGGGCCAGTGGTGGACTTTCTAATTGCCAACCAAAATGTCAGGAGCCCCTATGAGATTGACTGGGTTAAGGTGACATGTTTTTATTTGTTTTGTTCCCAATGTTTGGGAAACATGAAGCAAGAATTTTACCAGTTGTTCTTTAACAGGCCAAGAGGATGTTAAAAAATCTGAGGATAAAGACAAGGCCTTCTAACATGGAGTACAAAATTACTGGGTTGAGTGAGTTACCCTGCAATGAGCAGTTGTAAGTGTATTATTGTTATTTTTTGTGTGGTTTGGTGGTCATGATTCACAGTAAGATTTTCCAGTATTTGCACACTTCGTTTATTGTGACTCATCATGCTGCAGGTTTTCACTAAAGCAAAAAAATGGACGAGATGGTGATGAGATCCAAACAATTGAAGTGACAGTATATGATTATTTTCTTCAGTACAGGCATATAGAATTGCAATACTCTGCAAAACTGCCATGCATTAATGTTGGAAAGCCAAAACGACCAACTTACTTTCCACTTGAGGTAAGCAGGATCATTTTTTGCTGCAGAATTTTTTTATGCTTGGTAACATAAAACATTTTCTTTAGATTTATCTTGTACTCAAGCTTGTCTCCTGTGTTTCTAGCTATGTTCATTGGTTTCCTTGCAACGCTATACAAAGGCATTGTCGACACATCAGCGGTCATCACTGGTAGAGAAGTCAAGACAGAAGCCCAAAGAAAGAATGGATGTTTTGACTAATGTTGGTTTCTTCCCTATTGGTTTCTTTCGCATCAAATCAATATATAAATTTTCTGCTTGAGTGGATGGCTGGTTTGTGTGGCAGGCACTGAAAACGAGCAACTATGATGCTGACCCAATGCTACGGACATGTGGTGTTACAATAAATACTCACTTTACTCAAGTTGATGGTCGTGTTCTTCCAGCCCCAGCGGTATCTTATTTGTTTTGTTCATCTTAGGTTGGTGGTCTTTGATATCATGCACTTTATTTGTTGGCTTTGGTTGCTTATTGCAGTTGAAGGCGGGAAATGGGGATGACTTGCTAACACGAAATGGACGATGGAACTTTAACAATAAGGTGCTGTGTCAGTTTCAAAACATTGAAATCTCGATATCCATGGTTCTGATGCTAACCTGTTTATGTGCAGAAATTTGTTCAACCATCAAAGATTGAACGTTGGGCTGTTGTGAACTTCTCAGCTCGTTGTGACATACGGAGTCTTGTTAGAGATCTGATCAAATGTGGGGAACAAAAAGGAATTGTGAGTTGTTTTATCATGTATATGCATTGTTTCATCACTTATAATGCAATCAATTGTTTTATCAATTTCTCATTGTTATTGTCCAATTTCTTGTATCTTTGCAGTTCATAGAACCGCCTTTTGATGTTTTTGAAGAAAATGGTCAGTCAAGAGATTCAAAACGCATTCCTTCTCCTCTGAGAGTAGAAAGAATGTTTGAACAAATAAAGTCAAAACTTCCTGGGCAGCCTCAGTTTCTTCTTTGTATTCTACCAGAAAGGAAGAACTCAGATATTTATGGTTGGCTGACTATGTTTATTATTTCCTTGTTACACTGTTACAATCTTAACTATATTTCTGAGGGATAGGTTTATTTGATTTTAAGGTCCATGGAAGCGAAAGAATCTTGCAGAATTTGGAATTGTTACTCAGTGTATAGCACCTACAAGGATCAATGATCAGTACCTTACAAATGTTCTCTTGAAGATAAATGCAAAAGTGAGATATTGTATTAATGTGCTTGATTTGCTGGTTTTTTATATGCTTTGGCTGCTGTGTAGTGGTTTCCTTCCCCTTTGTTGTCATCTCTGATGTTTTTATCATTTACAGCTTGGTGGCATGAATTCTTTTCTATCTATAGAGCACACACATGCAGTTCCTATAGTTTCCAAAGCTCCAACCATTATCCTTGGCATGGATGTGTCACATGGCTCTCCTGGACAATCTGATGTGCCATCTATCGCTGCGGTAAAATGCCTTGTTTTGTTTTCTCTGATGGTTTTGACATAACTATGCAGCCGACAACCTGTTGTGACACTATTCTATGAGGCACCGTATTTCTGTCTGCACTGATTATTGTACATGTTATTGATATTTTGTGCTTGTTAAACTTCTTAGGTAGTCAATTCCAGGCAGTGGCCATTAATTTCTCGTTATAGGGCATCAGTGCGTACACAATCACCAAAAGTTGAAATGATTGATTCTCTATTTAAGCGTGTATCAGACACAGAGGATAGTGGCATAATTAGGTGGTTCATCTTTTCTCTTGTGGTATCAGTTTTAGTAAATTACATCCATGCCTTTGGTAAAATTTCATCATTTGATTACTGAAATTGCAAATGGAAATTCTTTTGAAAAAAGAACCTGATTTTTTCATCAAGTAATTATTTTCCCATGTTTGTTTAGACGAGTTTAATTAGATTTGTGGATGACTGAAGGGTTTATTACCTGGTTTTCAATTTCAGGGAGGCATTGCTTGACTTTTATGTAAGCTCAGGGAAAAGGAAACCTGATCAGATAATCATCTTCAGGTATTTTGCTTTTGATAAGCAATCATTTTCAGTATGTGGCTTGCCTTATTGTTGTGTAGCATTTTGATGATCACTTATTTCTGTTTATCTATGCTTAAAAAAAGATAATACATGCTTTGCTAATGAAATAATGCAATGGATAAAACACAATTAGATGCAAGGAAATGAAGAATATACATACAAGGAAAAATTATGCCAATATGCAGATCTGGTCCTGGGGGATTAGGACCTTAAGGCTGTGTTTGGTTTGAAGGAAAAAGTAGGGAAAGGTAGGGAAACCTTTACAAAACTTATATAGGTTTCCTTACTTTTCCCTTCCTTTCCCTACTTTTTCCATCAATCTTTTTGTTTAATGATGTAACTAGATTGATGTTGGTGTAAATGTTATTTCTGACCCATGCAATCTGCTTGCTACGTGCTACACACTTGGCATATAATATCCCAATATTTTTTTTGTTGGTGGGTACAGCTCATACGTTTCATTTACAACTGAATTGGGTAATATTTTGTGCAAATGTTCCTACAAGCCCCATTCCATTTTGCTATGTTCTCTTGTTATAATTAATTACATGTACATGATTAGCTTTCTATACAATGTATTTGTTTTTAGGTAAATGCTAGTATCTAGGGGATAGTTCATAGTTATTCCTAGCCAGACCCTTCGCCATGATCATCCCTAGTATCATGGGTTGGACCAACGCAAAACCACCCCCCCCTCCCCAAAAAAAAAGAAAGAAAGAAAAAGGTTGCTCTGTTGCACAGATGGTTGTGTTAGGGTTGAAAAAAAACAGAATATAGTCTGGTTGGGTTAGGGTTAATGCCTTGGGTAACCAAATACTACCTGAGTTCACTGTATTGTCACACATTATTACATATTCTTGTACATTACGTGTATACAAGTTTTAATTTGGGTGAGAGAGGGTGGTTATGGTGACAATGAAGAGTGGTTTATTATAAAATATTACTATCATATGCTATCTATTGCTATCATGTGGTTTATTTGCATGGTTAATTTGGTATACATTTATGTGGATTTAACTATGATGCTGGAAAGATGTGATACCAGCAAAACTTGTAACCAATCAACCAGCATCGTAAAAGTGGTAGCCAATCAGGTGGGTTTTTATCAAAATACATGGGTTTTGATCGGTCAGGCTTTCCAGAAACCATAGATTTTCCCATATTTATGTATGTCTTCGAAATTTGGTAGGTAAATTTCCGATCTAAACCCAATCTGACCAATCCAATCTCATTATTGGGTTGGTTTAGGGTTTAGAGCCATGGGTTGGTAAGACCGCTGAGGTTTTAGACATGTCGGGTTAGGCTAGGCTGCTAGGGTTGATCTCAACCTGAGCCAACTCAGCCCGAGTTGGCTCCATAATAACACTTCCCATAACTTGTCATTGTTTTGCACAAAAACCCCAGTCACTAGACTCACTAAGCCTGATAGTGAATATCTACATTTTCTATCCCACTCATGCATATTTGCCCTCTGTTGTTGATTACTAAAGCATTTGAGTTCAGGGATGGTGTCAGCGAATCACAATTCAACCAAGTCCTGAACATTGAACTGGATCAAATCATTGAGGTTACTTTTGCTAAAACAACTGCCCCTTTTGTCAACAGTTTTGGAAAGAACCTCTGAGGAAATGGATGTAAGAATTTTTTCTCTGGTTCTCTTTTTATTGTTTTCAGGCTTGCAAGTTCCTAGATGAGAAGTGGGCTCCAAAGTTCATGGTGATTGTTGCACAGAAAAATCACCACACCAAGTTTTTCGTGCCAGGATCTCCCGATAATGTTCCACCTGGTTGTCCTCATCCTCAGCTCCAGGATAACTGAAATATCAATCAAATGACTATATATGACCTCTTTTCATGTTTTTACATATGCAGGTACAGTGATCGATAACAAAGTCTGTCATCCTCGAAACAATGACTTCTACATGTGTTCACATGCTGGAATGATTGTGAGTTGGTTTGCAATAGGCATTCACTTCATTTTCATCTTGTGCATGGATTTTGAATACAGAGGACCTCTTGAGGGGTCTGCTAGGATTTCCCCATCTCCTGCATTCTGAAACTTGTTCAAGTACCATGAGTTGTATCTTCTGTGTTGGATGTTTCTTTGTGGCAAAGATGACATATGGTAACTACTGGATGTGACCTACAGGGGACAACAAGGCCTACCCACTATCATGTTCTGTACGATGAGATAGGATTTTCAGCTGACGATCTGCAGGAGCTTGTCCATTCTCTTTCTTATGTGTAAGCATATCTTGCATGTGTGATTATTTTAATGATGTTTGGATAACCACTTACCTTTCATTTAAGAATTGCAGGTATCAGAGGAGCACTACTGCCATTTCCATAGGTAAGACATGCTGCTTTGAATCACTCTTGTATACACCACATAGTAGATGATTCTTGAATATAGCTACTACTTGGCTAGAACATGGTAATGGTAGCTACTACTTAGCTAGTTTATCTGGATTCATAATGATGTCATAAAGTCGCGTACTATTTGTCCATGGGATAAATGCCGAAAATTGCCGTCTTCATCTAATATGCCAGCAAAAGTGGCGAATTTCCATTCTATAAAGATCAATTATCCATCCCTTGTGCCCTCATTTTCAAGTTTCTTACATATGAGAAAGCCCATTCATCCAAATGGGTTATGGAATGCAATGTAGTATAGCATCAGAATATTTTACTTGTTTCTTAGTCTTGACAACTGATGCCCCTTTATGTGTTGCTGCAGTTGCTCCAATATGTTATGCCCACTTGGCGGCATCACAAATGTCACAGTTCATAAAATTCGATGACTTGTCAGAGACATCCTCAAGCCATGGTGGGATGACTTCTCCTGGGTCTATTCCTGTGGTCGAATTGCCCAGGCTGCATGATAACGTGAGCAGTTCCATGTTCTTCTGCTAGATTGGGGCAAAAGGGTTATTTTGTTAGAATGATATGAACATGGAAAAAAAGGCTTTGTATATAGTTGCTGGCCACCTGAAGTGTGTTATTTTGTGGCGCGGGACGATTAACACCCAGATTCAAGCCTTAGGTTTTTCAAGGTCCAATCCAAAATTCCTTTTCATGCAAGGCCCACCTTTGCTGGGTAGTGGGCCTTTTTTTGTCTAACTTGAAAAGGCTTCTGTATAGGACTTTGCTTGATGTCTTACAAATCTTTTCTGGTTATGGTTAAGGTATTAGCCTTCTCAGGTTGTGAATGTCTACTCAGTTGTTTCGCCATTCTGTGTTTGTTTGCTCTTTATTGATGCTCGATGCGAATATAACTAACCTACATTCTGAATGTTGGAATGAGTTCCATTAGTTTACACGGCCAATTGGAAGGACCAAGGTGCATCTTTATGCTCTCCTTCATAACTCGACCCAAATTGGTTTTATTATTCAGTCTTCATCCTTGGGGGTCCGGATGTAGTAGGCACGTTAGATAAGCACGAGTGAGCACCTGATACCTGTTATCTATTATTTTATTATTTGTGTCAAAATAATTAAAAATAAAAAAAAACAGTAAAAAAGAAAAACCTGGCCCAGTTAATGCGCCTTTCTCTCTAACCTTGCCTTTTTGGGTTCTCTCACCTCTTGACCTTCAGCCGCTGCAACTGGTTGGTTGGAGCATTCCAATGGCCGAGCAGTTGTCCTGCACCCTGCCAACCCCTGCCGCTTGGAACATCCAATGGCCGAGCACTAAGGAATTCTGTTGCCTTGTTCACTCCCTCTTCTCTTCTCTTGTCTTCCTGTTCAGACTCCGAAGATGTTCAGTCAAGTTGCCACCGTCTCTAACGAGGGTTCCAATCATCGGAAATTTTCACCAACTTGGCACGCTTCCCCACCGCTCTCTCAGAGCCCTGGCTAGTATGGGCCTCTCATGCTACCGCATTTGGGCAGTGTACCTCTGCTCGTCGTTTCCTCCTTAGAGATGTCTATGGGGATCATTAAGACCCAAGATACTAACTTTGCAACTAGGCCTTCTACAACTTCTGCAATGACTTGGGGTTTGCACCTTACGGCGAGTACTGGAGACAGATGAAGAAGATGTCTGTTGTCCGCCTCTTGAGCGTCAAGAGTGCAGTCATTCAGATTTATAAAGGAAGAAGAGGTTGCTCTTTTGATCGAGAAGATATCTCACGCATGTCAGTTGTGCAACTCAATTAATTTAAGGGAGTTACCATTCTATCCAATAACTTGATTTCTAGAGCTGCTTTCAGTAGCAAGTTTGAAGAAGATGATAATAGCAGATGGATCGGGCCTTTGACAAGGGAGGTAATGTCACTTTTGGGAATGTTTAGTGTTCAGGATTTCTCCCCTTAGAATGGATCGATACAGTTATCGGATTGGATGGGAGGCTAAAGAGGATGTCTCAAGAGTTGGATAAGCTTCTGGATCAAGTGATCAGAGATCATGTTAGTACTACTGATGACCAAAGAAGTAAGGACCGGAGGGATGGAGAAGAGTTTCTGGATATTTTGCTCCAAGCTCAGAAGGATTCAACGCTCGATATCCCCATCACTTGAGACAACATCAAAGCAATCATTTTGGTAATATTCATTTCTGTTTCTGAACTACCAAATATTAATTAAGAACACTTATTGATCTTCTCAATTTAGGCCTCCTTTAAATGACATTACAATTGTTGGCTTTCTCGGATATCATATCGAAATTGATCCATGCGTCGACTTACAAATGCAATTTTGTACTCATTTTGGCTTTTGCCCTCCAAATAATATATTTCTTAACTAATTTGCTCATATATATCTTATATATCATGTTCCCACTACTTATTCACAGGACATGTTTATTGGTGGAAGTGATACGACTGCCATTACTGTGGAATAGAGAATGACCGACCGAACTCGTCAGGAATCCCCAAGTGATGAGAAAAGCCCAAGAAGAAGTTAGGCGTGTTGTGGGTAAGAAATCCAAGTTTGAAGAAGATGACATTCCTCAAATGGCTTATTTAAAAGCTGTTATCAAAGAGACTCTAAGATTACATCCTCCTGCTCCCTTTTTGATTCCAAGAGAGTCCATTAGAACTATCAATGTTAATGGCTACCATATCCTAGCTAAAACCAGTCTTCATCAATGTTTGGGGCTTTGGGCAATTCGAAGAGCGGCTGAAGGTCAACAGGTGGGAGAACCCAAAACAGCATAAGGTTAGAGAGAAAGGCGTATTAACTAGGACAGGTTTTCCTTTTTTATATTGTTTATTTTAATTATTTTGACATAAATAATAAAATAATAGATAATTTCTAACGAAACAAAAACGTTTAGATGGTGCATTAATTGGGGCAGATGTTACACAGCTATTAGGTGCTCACTTATTGTACTTACGTAACGTGCCTACTACATCTGGACCCGCATTTTTGAGCCCCAATGCTAGATAATCAAATCCTTCAAGTATGCCCTGAAATGAGTTAAATTTTTTGGTCATTCCAAGAAAGGCTGAAATAAGCTCATATCAACTGTTATGCTCATTCTTTTATTTTTGAGCCATTAATGGGTTTACCCAAAAAGTCCGATAGTCTCGGCACCAATGATGGCAACGTAAAGAGGATTACAACAAAATCGACTTCACATCACTAGATCGGCTAACTTTAGAAGGAAGGTTGTTATTTTGTTAATGCTGTTGTGTTATTCTCTTGGGTCGTGACTCTCCTCTCGGAATGGCCAAACGGTTTGGTAGGATTGGGAAAGTGAAACTTTACTTATCCTTTCTGGACTCTGCGGACTGGAGAGTGCAAGAGTACGCGAGTCCTTGAGCACGGTGGAGTACAAGAGTACGTTACTGCAAGAATAATTTCCGGTCGATGGACTTGGGGGTGTCAATTGGATTTGATTTGATCCAATCTGATCCAGTCCAATGTAAGTCCATTATAAATGGAGCAGGTTCAATCCAATCCAATGAATATTTTGGACCAGACCAATTCAATGTTTGCACCATCAAATCTGTTCAAATTCTTTTTGATTTAGATCAGTTTTAACATGAACTCAGTCCATTCACTTATATTCTTATATTATTTCAATGGATCAAATATTGGCTTAATCCAATCTAATATAAATTTATTATTAATGGACCAGATCCAATCCAATCTAATAAACATTTTGGACTAGATTGGTCCAATTCAATATCTTGTTGGTCTGTCCAATCTGTCCAAATTGATTTTAAACTTGACAGGGTCCAATCCATAACCGGTCCTTTGACACCCTTAAATGGATTCTTCTCTGAACTGTACAGAAAGGTTACATCTGAATAGAATAGGGGGAAGAATGCATAGGCTGCAAGATCGGATGTACAGGATTCGAATCAAATTTTGGATTGCAGTTGGATATTAAATGCTTTTTATTTTGTGAATGGAGAAGCAATTTTTCATTAAAAAATAAGAGAGAGCAAGGGAGAGGTTCCTTTCCACAGAGGCTTCAACCACCACAACCAGAAACAAAAATAGCAAACTAATTAGTAATTACAAAGCAAAGTCATCATTTGAGATAATGTTGCTCCAAGTCCAATGATGGTAGAAATCAGTGCACTTGAGAATACTGACGAGGTAGCCCAATTCACCAGCAGTTTTTCCACTTTTTCACATAAACATAACTTCTTGGGGTATAATCGAGCCAAGCCGAACTTTGGCATGTCTTGGCTCGGTTTGATTAAAATACTATTAAGTTTGAGTTTGAATTTGAACTTAAATATATTTGTAACTATATATGTGTATGTATGTATATGTGTTAATCAAGCAAAGTTCGCGAGTTTATAAACCAAACTTTTTATTGATCGAGTTCGAACTCCAATAACTAATCGATCTTCTTCCAAGGTTTGAACTTGATTCGAGCTTGATTAGAATCTAATTTGATTAGGCTTGATTCAAATTCGAGCATGAACTATTTGATTAGAACTTGATTCGATTGCAGCCTTCTTCAATCGGTAAGGTTTCAACATCCGGCCATTCCACCTAAGCTATACCAAACAGATTAATGACATCGGACCAAATAACCGAAGTAGCTATGCAGTGGATGAGAATGTGCTGAATATTTTCCACTGCTACTCCACAAAGACAACAATAGTTAACAAAGATCATACCTCTGGACTGCGGGACATCAATGGTTTGTAACCTTCCTTTTTAGTGCAGGCCACAAGAAGAAGATTACCTTGGACGGAGTTTTCGGCTTCCAAATCCAAAACCAAGGCACCTGCGGTCTGGACTTGGACTTATGTTTAAGCATGGAACCCAGATCCATGCTGTAGTCCTAATCACAGGTGCTAAGCCCAGTCTGGTTCATGATCACCCCGTTTCAAGGTATTAGGTTGTTTCCATGCGTCAATGGTTAGCTATTTTTGTAGATTTTCAAGTAAGCATGCATCGTTTTTTTGTGGGGAAGACATTCATGTTTGAGTTTTGATGGCTAGGGGTGGTCATTTTCAGCCCAGCCTGAAATTGTTCGGGCTTGAGCCTACATTTTTTGTTCAGACCTGGTCCAGGCCCAAGCTCACAAATTCAGGGCTAGGTCTAAGCCCAACACTCAGGCCCGGTCTATACATTTCTTATATATTATTTATAAATAATTAACATATATGTATGCATGTTATTTTTATGTTACATTATATATAAATATTATAACATGACACCTATAGTGCATATTATATATAATATAAAATATTATATACATTTAATATTTTACATAAAAATGTAGGCCCATCCTGGCCCATGATCACCCTTTTTGATGGCCTTAGAAAGAGTATATCAAAGGCTATTTTAAGGGATTCGTTGGGATACGCCTTGAAAGAACATGGATACAGTAGGAAATTTAACGTATGCATGGATAAGTCTAAAAAAATGTTTTGTTTTATATTTTACATATAAGGCTGCGTTCACTTTTCGGTAAGTTACTTATCCGGGTAAATGCAATTATCTGGGTAAGTTTTTCCTGGGAAATACTTACCCGGGTAAGTGCATTTACCCATGCTCTTTTATTTTCTAGGTAAACAAGGCAATGACCATTTTAACCATAAAAATCTATTATTAAAAGGGGCATTTTTGTCCCATTCAAGTGTTGGCAACCTTTCCTGTAGGTGGGAAAGTTATTTACCGACCTAGGAGATGGTATCATTTACCCAGGTAAATGATATCCAGGAAAATAAACTTTTCCTGGTCCATATAAATATGAAAAAGGAACATGGGATTCTTGGTCAATGAAAACCAAAATCTTTGACCAACTTTCCCCGCCACAAA